AGTAATCATATTATTTCATCTAGCCTTGATCCGAAAATTTCTCATTGGCAATCCTAATTTGGTGTTTTGCATGCTTTCTACTATATGTCTCTATATAGTCGTAGTTGATAAACGGCATCTCTATTGGTCAGCGAGTATTTTAGAACGCTTTTTTAAAGATATAAAGGTGAAAGAATAATGATAGCCTTGTCTTTTTTATTATAACTACACATCTTTAAACATATCGCCCCCTTACATGGCATATTTTAGCTCACTCTCTTCGATATTGTGCTGACTGGACAACACTCTAGCTCCCTTGGGCTTGTTTATCGGGCAGTGACTCACCTAAATAAGCCTGAAGATTCAGCTAATCGACATTTAGCCCATGGCCGAGCCACCATCCAGTCGAATAAACTCCGGGCCGATCCGTTGACCTCAACTGCTGTAGTTTCCCTAGCTGCCTCTGTCGACTCTGGATCAACACCGGGTGATATTGGGCAGGTGCAGAGTCTTAGGGACAGGAATCATCATTTGTTGCCACAGCAGCAGCAACGTCAGTATCAAGTTAAATATCCTGCTCATACGTACTCTACTTCAGTCAGTGGGTCGCCTCATATTCTTCCTCACAGCCAATGTCAATATCAGCAACTTCATCAACCTCAGCCAGCCAGATACTTAACCGGCATTGCTTCATCTTCACCTTTGCCCTCTCTATCTGCTCTTCCTATGGCCGGCATCAGTGGAAATACCAGCTCCAGTGGCCTTGGATATAGCCTGCTCACTGGGCCAGAGCATACAACTTCAACGACAATTTCATCATTGTCAGTTACTGCTGCCAATACTACGACAACAACTACGATGCTTATGAGGATGTCGACACCGCCCCCTTCTTCCGCCTCCTCTTCTCATTTGCGTTCGGCTCCCATCCCGTCACTCCCGATGCAATTGACTCCGGGTAGTGTTTTGCGTCGAGGTCAAGTAGCCCTTCAAGCTAATTCTTATGTTAGTCCTATGACGACCACAACAGTGACTTCGGGAAGCAACTTTCTATCGTCTCCGTCTTCGCACTCTTTGAGCCATTCTATTCGCGAGACTGACTGTGGCGGCCTTTATAACGGATTTGCAAGTGCTGGCATCGGCCTTGACGGCAGGTAACATATTTTTCACTATTCTACGGTCTATCTTGATACATACACTTTATGTTGATATATATATATATATATTGAAATTTATAAGCAATTAATTCGTTTCCTACAATGAAATTATGCGTATATTTGTAAAAAAAAAGTAGTTATTTCTCTTTGTAAAAGTATCCATTTCCTTAGTAGAAGCATTTTGACATACATTTTTTAGCTATTGACTCTTGGCTGACTATGAAATTCTGAGGATGCAAAGGATCAGAAGTCTTTTATATCTTACCTATTTATTACCTCTAAAACCTTGGTTTTTAGGTCCTATTCTAAAAATCTCTTGATTCTCATATAACTGCAAATCGATCTCATACATTTTATTTTTATTAACCTTATATCGTCTCTTCTTAAGAGGAGAGTTGATTGATCGTCCCGAAAATTTTCTTGGTTCACACTCTTACTCCTTATTTTATCTTGTTCGACTTCTTATAGTTAAATTAGCCAAATACCAAAAATATTTCCTCTGAAACCTGTTATGAATGGCTTTACTTCATCGTAAATCGTTACTCAAACTCACCCAGAGCTGTAGAATGATGGTTCTTTGGCATTATTTGAGCGCTTCTTTTATGATATTCCATCCTTTCTTGTGAGATACATTTTTGGTACAGTTTCGCAAATTAATTCTTGAGCATGTTGGAGTACCTTTCATTTCGTTTGAATAGGCGAGTGGAATGGATTTGTCAGTTGTTCACAGGAAGCTCTATGGGAATTGC